TCTCAGGAGGGAAGGGGGCAGGTGAACCACATCTTTGCCTGACCAGGGGTGGTTATAAAATGAAATATAGATTTGTAGAAATGTAGTGTGTATCCTGTTCGCTCTTGCTTAATCCTTTAGCACAGCTGGATTGTTTTGTGTCTTGGACAAATTTGTACCCCCCAATACTGAATTTTCCTAAACAGTTTCACAAAAAGGTAGTTCATGTACTTTTCACATCAGCTTGTTTTTTCCTGTGACTGTGTGTGAAATGACTGACTGACAGCTCAAACTTTTCTTTTGTCGTCTTAATCAAGCCAGGATTTTCCTCCAAAGTTAATACTGTTTGTGAAAGGACCTTAGATTCCCAGATGGCCTGAAATGTCCCTGCACAATGCAGGCAGTGTTATTTGAAGGTTATTGGGTTGCTTCTATATCCTGGAGTGTGTTGAATGCTTTCTTGGTTTTCAGAGTGAATTTTAGGGAAATTTTAGGGAAATTTCAGGGAAGTGTGTGTGATTTCTAGGCTCCTCTTGCCCCTCTCCGTCTATATTAATTTCCATTTCCTATAAAGAATCACAAACTAAACAATGCCTTCCTGTTTTAGTTACTGTTCTCATATTACTGAATGAAGGGGTCTGGTATTAATAACTTCACAGAATCAGCTGGAAACCAGGAAAGCAATACTGACATATGCTGAAATTCTCCGCTAGGTCAGCAATCAGGTGGTATCAGAGAGTGGTAGGTAAAAGCAGGGGCAACAGCAAAGGTAGAATGAAAATTGAGCCAAAATTTCCAGGTAGTATCTATGTTTTATTTTGAAAGTTTCTCTAAACGTATCCAACACTTATGGAAACCTCCTGAAAAAAGGTTTTCTTGAGAGTTAGTTCTAATATTTGTTAAGTTCAGTAACGGTGTGAAAATGGTCTCTTTTGAGATTGGCTCTTGGCTGTCTAGAACATAGGCAGCCATTCAGAAATAAAATGTAAAACTGTATTTTATCGTCTCCTTTTTCTTTTGCCTACCGTACTGGCCTCAACTTTGGAGGAACTGGTTGGCTTTTGCCCTATACAGAATGTATATACCAGGATCCTTACCACCATGCGCTTCTGCTCTGTGTGAACCGAGACTGCAGCCTTAGTAGCAACTTAACATCTTGCGATCAGACACCTAAAGTGTCAGACCTGGACCTGGTGTTTGGCGCTCGGGGAGAGGAAGTGAGGATCTGTAAGGCTCTGTTTTCAGTGACAAGGACCTGTTTATTCCTTGTTAGCAATTTTGTAGGCTACAGAGAAAAAAAGAATAGTAATTACTGAGAGGCCTGACAGTTGACAATGCCGTCTTTTTCAGATGACATTTTTCTGTTATGCATAATCATTAAATTACTAATGTGTAAGAGCTCTTACACCTTTTAGCTGCCCTAGGTTAGTAGGAATCAAGACTTTCTATGCCTCACTGTTCGCCCTCAAAGAAGAGGGTGTGCTACCTCCTTTGTGGTTACCACCTTATATTTTGAAGGAAAAGCTGCCTTTGCTAAGCTTTTAGTGCTGAAAATGGACTCAGTGTTTATATTTGCCGAGTTCAGGGGGAGGACTGGCAAGAAAATGGAGTACTGCTCTTCTGCTTTCGCTTCCCAAAGCAGAAAGGGGGAGAAATGTTGTTTTTCTCTATAAGATGTTCAGCCTAATTTCAAGTTGTCACAGAATGGGATGGAGACGTTTTCCCCTTTAGATGTGGATGCACGGCATAGAGAAGAAATAAAATCAAAAAGGAGCAGAGAACTGGTAGCTTTGGTGAGTACACTGCAGAGGAGGACGCACAAGGCTTGGTGCAGATCTCGGCGTGCCTTCAAAAGTCTCAGGGATGCGAGACTGCCTCCAAAACTGCCACACACTGAATTCATTTGTGGGTGCTTCTCTTCTAGGTGATGGTATGACGAATGTTAGAGCCTTTATGTTTAAAATGTAAAGCTCTGTGGGGGGAAGAGGGTGGGACTTTGCAAGCAGCAGCTTTTTAAAACCGTAGCTTTCTCCAGCGCAGCGGTGATGCAGACACAGGAGAGCTGGATAGGGGGAAGGAGGTGAGCACCAAATGTGCAAGTAAGACTAGAGGTGTCTTTTGTCTGTAAGCTTCAGGCCAGTAACGTGTCTCTGCATTATTCAGCAACAAAATCGAATCTGGAAGGCAGTGAAAGGCTTGAGGGGTGCGCAGAACTTGCCGCTCTGCTCCCCGGTGCTTTGGGGAGGGGGGACAAGGAGGCAGTGAGAGGGAAAAAGGAAATCTCTAGTTTCATTTTCTCATTCAAAAAAAGTGTGATTTCCTGGGGTGGCTTGAAACCATACACATAAAGGACTCCAAATGGCTGGTTTGTTCACAAGGGGAGAATTCCACTTTTAATTTTTTTGCAAATCACTTCTTAAATGTAAATGATTTGCTTGAAGCAGCCTAAAATTTGGGAGGGGACTTCTTTTAGCAGATGGTTTGCTGGGTTTTTTCATTCATTAGTGGGCTCACCCAGACACATAGGTTTTACTGTACCTTTTTTTAAAGGGTGACTGATGAAACTAAATGATGTATTCAGGCTCTTCCTGCCCCAGCTTCCCTCCTGCCTTTACAGCAACTCACAGAATATGCTATAGCACAGGCATTTACTGTTTCAGAAAGGGCACTTATGCCAAAAGCTGTTCAGATCTGCAGTTAGAGATCACCAGAAAGGAGAGCAAAAGTTACTGTAAGCTCTAGGTATGAAGGTTTCTATCTGTATACTATGGCTGTGGTGTTGAGAACTCTGCCCTGGAAATGTTGACTCTGATTGTTAAAGGCAGTGACATAAGTGTGGGCTTTGATATCAGAAAACTGAGCAATAACCCGTGTGTTTTACTTTCTCTTGAAAGTGATTTTTCTTGCTTGACTTCCTTAAACGTTCTTTTTATATAATTTGGACCCATAGTAACGAGGTCCTCGGCTGATGGTTACACAGTGACAGTCTATATTAAATACGCACTACTAAATTATGCAGAAGGGAGTGCCCTTTCAGTTGGCGTAAAGCAGTGGCGCCCAACTTTTCAGGCCAGGCCAAGCACAAAGATCGTGCCGATGGCGGGGCTGCCTCATGCCTCCAGCCCGCCGGGCTGCCGAGCGGCACGTGGGCGTAGCCGGCATCCTGCCCGCCACCCTCGCGTCGCTTGGGGTGCTGCGCATCGGGCACCCCGTCACCAGCAACCGGGTCTCAGGCTTTCTGGCTCAGCCTCCAGTTTACTGCTTGGTCCTTAGTGTACACCATTAGCTTCCGCGTGCCGAAGCTTCGTTGCCTGTAAAATGGGGGCGATCTTGTTGATCCACCTGCCGCGTGTCCTGGTGCTTGTGAAGTGCTTTGAGGCTAGATCCTGGTTTTGCGTAAGTGGTTGGCTTCGACATGCGTCTTCACCTCGTGTTCCTGGAATCTGCCGATTTGTTCTGGATCTGTTGTGAGTTTATGTTGATTATAGGCAGAATCTCATAACCATGCAGTGAAAGGGATCGTGCAGATAACCTATGGAAGAATTGGGCTCAGCCTTTTCCTAAGGTTTTAGGATCTTCTGGATGCTGAACTATGTAGTGATCATACACGCCACAGCTACACTTAGAGCTTTGTGGGGGACATGGTTGGCGTTTTTCTTACATCTCTCATCCTCAGCCTTTCTTCCATGTTGTTTGCCCTTTCTTTTTTATATGTTTCCATTCAGTAAGACATTCAGCGCTTGTAGTACCAAGTTCCTTAGAAATAACATTAGTAGATCACTCTTCCTTGCTTCTTACTGTATCTTATGCATATCTTGCTGCATTTTACTATTTGTTTTTTCCTCTCGAGTCATTATTTAAAATATATAACAATGTAATACAATTCGCAGTGCTCTTTATCATGCAAATCTCCCAAGGCACCTTAGAATAAAATCAATAAGATCAGAAACAAAATCAACTTAGTTCATCCATGAATAGAATTAATTCTTTTTTCTTTTTTTAAGCAGAGCCAGGCAGAGAAGATTTGTTGTTCTTTTTAATATCTTTTGCTGTTCAGCTTTGTACCTCACTGCTTTTTTATTCCTGCAGCAGTCAGTGTCAAAATGTCCATAATACCTTATGGATATTAGTAATGTTGATAATGCCTCCTACTCCCAGACCAGCACTGGTTCTGTAGAGGCTACTTGCTATTTCATCAGATAGCGGGGAGGAAAAGCTTATGCCGAAGTAGGTTGACTACTTGATATCGGCAGGAAGAGGTGTGTGTGGCGGGGGGGGGCATCAAATTAACTCATAAAAGCTTTATTTACAATGAATGGACCTTTTCCCTGTGTCATTATCATCTTGTCTGTAACCCAGTGACCCTGATTATCATGAAGCTGTTTACAAGGTTAGGTTAATTGGATTTCTTTAACTATTTCCCAGAGCTATGAGGAGCACAAATTCACTGCAGTGGAGTTCAAGCAGCATAACACAACCGGCTTTACAAGGAGACAGGCTTCTCCCAAGAAGAAGTCATTTTATGTCATAGCCCAGCAGCATGTACCTATCATTTGGTGAAATATTATATAAGACTATCTTTCATACATATGTGTTTAGTTGCAACTTATGTTGTCGATACGCAAATTACCTTTTGCATGCTCAGCAAGAAATTGGGCTTATTTTCAGTGAGGGAGGCTTTGAAATGTTTTTTCTTCAGGTCAATAGCAGTTTCACTTGTTTTGTTTTTATAGGAAGAGTCGTGGATAAAATAGCTGTGCATTGCATGGCTGCCTAAATAAACGAGACAGGAGGATGTAGTTGGGTGAGATCAGGACAGTACTTTTCTGTGCTTTGCTTTCATCTTCTCAGGATGCACGCTCATTCTTTAATGGCCCAACATTGCACCCTCCAGGTGCAATGTGTAATTGCAGGTCTAAAGACAACCAACTTGTTTTACAAGAACTGTATTTTTTTTGTGTGCAAACCTTCCTAAATTCTCCTTTAGCATTACTCACCCTCTTTTTCTCTTCCTTTTCCAGGCTTCTGTAGGCTCTGAGAAGCTATTCTCCCCTGCAGCAAATAAAGGTAAGTGATTTGGAGTAATGCTTTCCTTATCTTACAGCAAGAGATTTGAGTGCATGAAACTGTCAACAACATCGTGCAGATAACAGGACATCAATTTTGCCAGTGTCTTTAATTTTGCCGCACAGATTGTCATAAAGATCAGATTTATAGGCTTGTGATGACTAAGTTAAAATGTAGAGCTGCGTTGCCTTGGTGTGGGGCGGGACTTCTTCCGTGCAAGTCAGATTCATAACAAATGTCTTAAGGAGAGGAGACTGCTAACAAAGGCGGAATCGGCCTTTACTGTAGGGGGAATGTGCTGGTTTCCTCTAATACAATCAAATTCTCATTTCTCTCGAACCAAGCGATATTTCTGTGTTCTCTGTATTATTCTCACAAGGACTTGCACATCTGTCTCCTGCCGGTGGGCACAGAGCGTTTGTGTCTGTCTGGCTCCGTTCTCCACAGTGAGGTGGAAAGTGCTCGGCATGATGCAGGATGTCAGCTCCCAGCTCCCACTATTACTTTTAATTGAGAGTTACCTGTGATACACACCGGGTGTTGCTAAGAGACTGGCCCTGTTAAGATCCCCTTTGGGAGTTACAGTGACATGTTTCTAAATACACCAAGCCCTACTTTGAGGGCTCAGTATGTCTGTAAAGCAAGACTCCTCTAGTATGAAAGACAAAATGTGGTATATGATTGAAAGCATTATGCTAGGAATCGTTCCACTTTATCATGCAAGGAGGTTGATGTTATGGCTCTGAATGAATTGCCAGGCAGTCTAGCTGCTCTGCAATGTTCAGCTACAGAATAAATCAGTTCAGAGCAATAATGAATGCTAGGGACATGCAAATGCCCTAAAGGGGGGGGGGAGATGAGGCCCATTAATAAGAAGTGATGAAATAACCTTCTCGCATTATTTCAAGAGGGCCAAGAAGGGAATAATTTTCTGTTATGTAGGAGTAGGTGCTAGCCATGGAAAGGTGTTTTGGTTGTTGGGTGCTCTTTCCCCTGGACCCAGGCCCAGTTTATCGCTGGGCTCTGTAGCAGTGGTAAGTATTAGGAATTCTCTGTCTTTCTAAGCCTTGCAAATGTTCAATGCCAAATGTGGAAACTGATGACAAGCCCATTATGTTATTACGTTTGCAGATATTTTTACAAAAGTGTGCAGCTTTATCTGGGGGAAGGAGGGAAATTTGAACAAATGGTGGGGAAGAGCATTTATCTTCTCTTGGCCTTGGCTCACTGATAAGGCAAACCAGATTGCCCATACGGCACTGCCTCAGCAAAACAAAAATCTTGCCATCCTGCACAAATGCGTGGTACAAAGATCTGGTATAGAGGCTTATGCTAAAGTGTTAGCAGCTTTGTTGGCTTCTCCTCTTACTGAAGCCTGAGATCCCCTACCCCGTCATATCACAGAGCGGCTCCGCAACATGAGTTTTCAAAATACTTCTCCATCATAAAGTTAAATGTGTGAATGGCTGTGAATTTGCTGTCTTGAAATCTGTGTTCATGGCTGTTTATATCCCTGTAACTTAAGACTGTTCTTGTTTAGTTTACTGTGGGTAGAGATATTGCCAGCTTTGGGAAGGTTTGCGTTCAGGTTATGATTTTTGTCTTGGACTTCTCTTTTCCTCTCCCACCTGTACTGGTGGAGCCTTGCTGATGATGCCAGTTGGCATGGGCTGTGATTGTGGGCCAGCTCTGCTGGGGGCTCCCTCAGCTTTTGGCACAGTGCTTGTGTTGAGAGGAGAGATTAATTTGCCTCAGCAAGATTTTGTGCAGAAGCCTAAACAGCGCTAAATCCTAACCCTAGCCCTGTTATCACTCCTGCAGCATAAGAGCCAGAATTTCTCTCTCACACATGCAAATGAAAGCTGCTCTGACACGACCAGTCTTGGAGATGCCATATGGCAGGGAGAAAGTGACTTTCAAAGTGTTCCGCTTAAATTCCTTTTCTAAGATAAGAGCGTTGATTTAAGGCCCCTGTTCTTGAGGACTGGAGCCATGGCGACTGTGCAGGGAAAGGATTAGTTAAACACAGTTAGGTTCCTGATGTGCACACATACGAGGTGGCACGTGCGTGTTGTCTCCTGTGGGCATTTGCGCTATGTCCCTCTTTTGTAAACGCTTAAGGCCTTTTTGGAGAGATATTAACTGGCAAATCTGCAGCATCTATGCTACAGCTTTTATTGGAGGTAACTGGGCTTTTAAAATACAATAAAGTGTATTCATTGTCTGGTGCAACACCCCTTCCCCCCCCCC